AGCACTATGGCTGTGTCCGAAATCCCATACTGAAATGCATGAACCTTGACCATTGATAAAGTAGGTTTCTTGGACATAAAGACTGATCACATTGTTTACTGATGACTTTTACCCAGGTGTTGTTTTTTATCACAATTTTACCACAACTTTAACCTTAGTCATATACATATATATAATGTAGTGCCAATGAAACCAATGTTTTGACATACTACAGACCTATATATTTTGTTCAGTGGAAGTTAATGTCATTGGGTAATGTTGCGTAATTTTTACAGCTAATCAATTAATTTACTTTTTATCCACTGGAATTTTTTCAGAAAACTGTATTTTCAATGATTTGTTGGCTGAATAATCAATGCTGTTCATCAATCCCATCTATCACTGTACATCTATAATAGTAACAAGTTTCATTGTTGTTTACATTAAATCAAATACTGCATCTATTTTACTTTATTTCTGTATGTCCACTGACTGTACATTTTTCAGCAGATGCAGTGTGTCATTCAGATAATTGTACATTTGACTCATTTGACTTATTTCTGTAAGCATTCTGTGTAGTAGAAATGCATGCATATTATTTGTACATAGGATGTGTTGGTTTTCCCTTTCTGATGTGAATTAGCCAATTCAAAGACATGTGATTGTTTGTCAGCATGAGGGCTTGAGTTATTGTTCTGAAGAGTGAACTCTGACTCTGGGATTAGCTGAGTGCAGCTCTCAAACGCCGTCCTCGTACAACAGCTTTAGTGAGTGATTGAGTGAGCTCTGCTGCATGAGCCTGGGCTTTCTGTGCATCTGTGCCCTACTTAGTTTGACTATCCTGCCGAAAGCCTCTCTTCTCCCTTATGGTTTAAATCTACGTAAATATACAGAGTTGAACGTGTCCTGGATCTCCTTCATGCTTCACTTTATTCACTTGTGAGTGTCACTCTTTCAAGCATGCACGTGCTCGCAAACATTTTGGTTGAAAGTGCCACTCTGTATTACACCAAAGGCCTGTAGCCTCAGTCACCACACAAATGTCATTGCCAAAGTCCTCTTATGTGTCCTTTTGGAGAGAGGAAACATGGCACAGCTGGCTTCCCCAGAAGGCACATTGGCACCCTTTTGCCACAAACAACAACTGTTCCCAGAGCCATAGATAAAGAAGTATGTAAACGCAAGCTATGAAGCCAGTGGGAATTTAAGTTGTTACAGTACATTAAATTAAATATGGCATCTACCCTTTCTACTTACTTTTATTTATTAATTTTTTTTACAGCAAAGTGTTTACTGGTTGTAAACCGTGTTATCCGGACTTGATGTACATGATAAAATGCATGCATATTTGAATGCTACATTTTGTTTTATTGTTACCTTTAATAGTAATGAAATATTATTTTAAATTAATTTTATTATTAAGAAGAAGAAGACCAACAACTGTTTTAATATTATTATTATTAGTAGTAGTAGTAGTATTTAGTTTTGGAAGTAAAACTTTCTCATAATCTATCATTTCATTTTTATTGAATTTTTATTTTTAAGCTTGAATTTTATTATCAGTGCATTTTGTTTGGGGCACTTTATGACCAGAGGAAGCATATGAAATGCAACACATTAGTCGTAGAATAAACTTTTTTCAGCGCTAATCCAAAGAGCCCTTCACAAAGAAGAGTTATTGCTTGTGAGAAAAACAGAAACTTTTTTATTTTTTTGCGCAAGCTATTTTTCTCATTTGCTTGCTCTCATCTCTTGTAGTTACACTCCACTCTTGCATTTTTTTTTTGTTACACTCCTTTTCTCACTTTTTTTCCCTTGTAGTCTAAGTAAGGATTCAGTTTTTGGAGGCAGCTGCGGCGCTGCCACACTCAGGCTCTCTCTTGTGCATGTCAATTCCCCAGGCTGGAGAGCTTGTACAATCCCCCACTGTGCTGCCCTGTAAATCATGGCTTTCTTTCCACTTCCTCCCCCTGCTGTGCAGCACGACCCTCCCTGCTCTCGCCTGCCTGCCTGCCTTGGGCTCATGTGCCCAGAGTCGGTGGAATCAGAAAAATGCAGCAGGCATTCAGTCCTTGCTGATATGGGCCTAGCGCGCTCCCTCACTGTGCCCGCTGGCCACAGAAATACCCAATCACCACCAGGCTCGACTCCAGAATCTGCTGATGTTTTCACATTTCTCTGCTGATTTTGGAGAAATAACTTCTATTATCGCTCTTGATGAGACAACCTCATATTTCATGTTCAGATTTAAACATGGCATATCATGAAAATCTGACTTTTTCTGTTTAACTGCTATAATCAGGTCCTTGGTGCATCTACCAACCCAGAAAACGTGAAAAAGAACAAACCTGTAAATTTTTTTTGGTAAGCCTTTCTCTGCAAGCTTGTGAAAAAAACTAGCCACTCGAACTTTGTTCCCCCTTGACGTAGAATGGAGATCTTATTGTAATATTACTGCCCCTTAATCTGTAAGTTTCCACCCACGGCGCCACCATTGTGTTTTCGCTAGCAACAACAGTGTACCAGTTCAAACGCCATGGCAAATGTTTGAGCAAAGCATGCTAACGGTTCTGTCTTTGCCTCAGAGGAGACAAGAGAGCAGTGGATTTATTGAATTATTTACTGTATATTACACAGCTGCCACACAGATCTAATATAAACATGCAGTTTTTCCCAGCTGTTTACCTTCACAGACATAACCGACTGTTTTTTTAACTTGTGTTTTTAACAAAATTGTGTGTATTTGACAGTTTAAGTGCAATAAGACATGAAAGAGAACTTAGTTTAGTACTCACGTGCCATGTGACAGCAGGTTTCTGTGTGTGCTTTGGATGTGTGCGCTCAGAAAACCGTATATCAGAAGTTTAAACTGATATGGTTTTTTTTAAACGCATGATTTCAGTGCGATAGGTATGATAATCAAAACCGAACAGATGTTTTTTGGCAGAGTACCTATCTGATGTACAAGCTGTAAAACACAGCCCTATTCTGGAAAAGGGGGCGGGGAACAGCAGCTCATTTGCATTTAAAGAGACATGCACGAAAACAGCATGTTTCTGCTTCAACTCAAAATAGGCTTTTACAAAATGATATAATAAATGATCTAGAGCTGGGTGAGATATGGGGTGGAAGCTTTTAAATACCTTTTTGTTTTTTCATTTGAATAGATTGGCTGGTTAGCTCTTTGTCATTATTGAACATTTTGATCCCATCCAAGGCTGTTGTTATGTGTTTATTGGTTTTGATGGTTTCGTTATAGTGGTGTATTATTCCAATTTTTTTTTCTTGTCTTTGCTCTGTACTCTTCTTGTCGTTCTGTAAAATGTAGTTATGATGTTGGTTAATAAAAAATAAGTTTTTAAAAATATATATCTGTGGGGTCTTTTGAGCTGAAACGTCACAGACACATTCTGGGGACACCTGAGACTTATATTACATATTGTAAAAAGGGGCATAATAGGTCTACTTTAATAAGTTTGATCAAATAACATGGCCCTTAATTATTACAGGTTTCTGCAGGACTTAAAGTGGCCTTAATACGTAATTCGAACTTCCACAAAAAAAATTCAGAAAAAGGTCTTAACTTGGAGCAGAATGTCTTAAATTCATAAAAGTCATTGCATTAAATGTGGCAATGGCAGATATTTGTACTTTTTAATCACAAACTCATAAAACAAGACTTATGTCATTTTGCTTCAAGTAAATGTATCTTGATTTAAGAATGTTTAGTCAGTTGCATTGGAAAAATGACAGAAATAAAAAAACAAAAATACTGAAGAATGTCACTTTTTTGCAGTGCTATCAGATGATACAGTAAAAGTTATTTCTGTGTTCTAGTGGTTGGTATTCAAGCCACCTTTTGTTTTTTGTTTTTTTAATTGAAATGAAATTAATTGAAAAAAGATACTGGGGATCTGTTGGAAGTTGTATTTTCAAACTTTGAAGTGTTTTTAATACAAGACATTTACATGTAGAGACCATATTGGTGTATTGTGTTCCATTCAATTTCTTTGCTTGGTCTTAAAGTGTCTTGTTATTAAATTACAGAGACTGTTTTATGGGTTTATCAAACCTCTTGTAGCGAATCAGCTCAAAGGGGAAATATGAATAATTAATCATAATTAGTTATAATTAATTATAAATATTTAGATCCGCTGTAAGTATTTACTTGACCTCTCAGGGTCAACTGTCTGTCAATTCTAAGAATGTTAATTTCCTGGTTAAGGAAAATAACTTTCTTGCTGTACAATACTACACAGAACCTGTAGCATAAATCTGCATGATTAGGGACTCCAGTTATGAGCAAACAATGAACAACGTCAAGTGTGATACAAGTAAGACTTTATTAACTACATAAACACTTAAACTAGTCTAACATACACATACACACACACGCATACAGTTGGTATAGGAACAGGATTAAAGCTTAGGCAGTAAAGAGAAGAGAAATAAAGCATGAAGCTATGGGACCATTGGATATTCAGCACATCTAAAGCCTGAAGGAAACATCAGATTCTTAGTTCAAACACACCTTTGTAAAAAGGTGCAAATGATACTTAATGTATCAATTAATAAGACTAAGTTTGATACTTGCACGTCTTGTCTGTCTGACAGAGTCCTGATGCAATCTGAAGGCTCAAGTTGATCTTTGCTGAAGTTGGTTGTTGGAAAAGAACCAGTTGAGTCAGATTATCTAGGTGAATGGAAAGTCAAGGCCCGAGGCCTGGCGCAAACTTAGGGTGTCCTTAGGAACATTCTAGCTCACGCCTCTCAAGATGGGCTTGTCCAATGAGAAAGGCTGAAATCCCAAGCGGGAGGTTGCAATTACTGGAGGGTTTTACGACCCTTTGTGTAAGGGCATGGTAATTTGCAAATGTAATTCACTTGGGTGAGGGGTCTGTGACTATTTGTTAATCTAATGAATAACTGATTTGTTAAATCTAATGAAAAATGGTGTGTCTGATTGGTCCAGACGCTACACTCTCAATGAAATTAAAGCTGTTCTCTTTCCTCTATTTCAGACGAAACCTGACGAAATTGTCGCTGATATTCAGTCACATGCTCGCCGAGCTCAAAGCCATCTTTCCCAACGGCCTGTTTCAAGGGGATAACTTCAGAATCACCAAAGCGGATGCCGCAGAGTTCTGGAGAAGATCGTTTGGGGACAAGTGAGGCGCTTAATGTGTTCTTTGTTCTCGTAACTGTTTAACATGCCACATTTTCATGGAAAAACAAAAGAAGTTGGACTTTGACAAGCTTAAGGAACAGGAAAACAGTCTGATTCTTATAACATAACCTGCATTTCTCTGAATTTCAGGACCATCGTGCCTTGGAAGGTGTTCCGGCAGGCCCTGCATGAGTTTCACCCCATCAGCTCGGGCTTGGAGGCCATGGCTCTCAAATCCACCATCGACCTCACCTGCAACGACTACATCTCCGTCTTTGAGTTCGACATCTTCACCAGGCTTTTCCAGGTGCGTCATTCAATCACTCCATCACTTCCTCCAAGCACAGACTAGCTCTATTGTGCCTGAGCTCGGTGTAGAGGAAGGTCTGACAATGACTGTTGTTGTGTGGCCTTGTGCTGTGGGTATGGAGGCTCTGTTTGAGTGTGCGTGTCAGTGCTGATGCTTCAGTTCTCGTGGCTGGAAGCCAGCCTGAATGGAGGCCTCTTATTATGGCGTTATTTTACTGACAAATGTCGAGAGCGCATTATTGTAGCGCGAAAGCACATTAATACAATGCGCGAGCGCGAATCTCTCCGCTCGCGCGCGGATTTCCCTTGCTCTCGAACAAAACCGGACGCGCTCGCTCAGATACACGCTGCTCTCGCCCGGAGAGAGTGCGCGCAATTAAAACGTGTCTCTCCTCTCACTCAAACTGTGTCCTGTGCACTCTCAAATCTCTCTGTGCTCATGCACTATAGATATTAATTCTTTTCGCGCCTGAATTAAACGTTGTCAAAGGTTATCATTATGCACTTTTAAAAAGTAGTCTCAAAACAGATTTGTGCAGGGTCTTTCCTTGATTTTTTTTATTGTTGTATTTTTTTGTTTTAACAAACTGGTTATTGTAGCTACTTTGTTTTACTATATCT